GGGGGGGGGGGGTTCGGAAATACTTCCCTCGCCCACCAGAAAAAGTGAATCTCCGCCACTGCCACCAGTCGATACAGTTTATGTATTTTTTCAAGTTCCGCCAGTTTTCTTCGAGATAAGGACACACATCTATCTTAATAGCGCGCATGTTGCTTGAAAGTCCAGATGCATTGTCAAACACTTTTCGCCCTGTGTCTCTGTTTGATCACAGGCACAATTTAGTCATGAAGCACATTATATTAATCGTACTCGAAAGCTTTCTCACAGGGACGCCGGGACTGGGGGAACAGGAGGGGCAGCCGCCCCCGTTGCCCTTTACCAGGAGAGGCAAAGGTGCCCTTTCAATTGCCAATAGCGAATTGCCAGAAATGTTAGTGCAATTCTTTTACGAATTTGCTTCAGAAAACTCACGAAGTGCAGTCATCGAGCTTCAAGAATAGCACAATCACTGGCAGTGAACCCCCTCACACCGCTATCATCCAATAAATAGAAAACATGATTAAACAAAGTTCAACTCCCGATGTTTTGCAAACGTCTCTCAGTATATATCGACTCAAAATACCCTTTCACGAAAATCTGCCCCCTTGCCTTCACATCATTCCGACGTCCCTGCTTTCTCATGACAACAAAACATTCAATAGCCTTTGTTGATAAAGTGCAACGTCCACATGTACACAAACTAAGAGTTTGAAGGCGGCAAGCGATTTATTTATTTATTTATTTATTTATTTATTTATTTATTTATTTATTTATTTATTTATTTATTTATTTATTTATTTATTTATTTATTTATTTACAGGGTCCCTTAAACTATTTATTTATTTAAATTATTTATTTATTTATTCACAGGGTCCCTTAAACTAAACATTTACATCAATTACAACACATTTTATCTACAAGGCTCGACAAAGGACGACACGAGTGACATTTAACACAGACAGTTTTAAACGATTGTGATCTGACATTAATGTCATATATAAGTTCAGTCATTTCGTGAAAATATTTCAACAAGTATGATTTGAATTGGCCAATTGTGACGTCAGCGTCACGGATATATATAAGATGGCAAGCAATTATATGTTCTATAGAAGCTCTATTAAAATAGCTATTTTGAAAAGCCAAAGTGTTTACTCTAGGAACAATTACAACTCATGATTTCCTCATTTCCAACTCATGATCGACTTAATCCTCGTCAGACAACGACAGATCACTGCCTTGTTCGGAATCGCTTTCATCGCTAATATGAGCGCTGTAATGGCTACTTTTATTTAGCTCCGTAAAATTTTACATTTTTATCTTACAAAGAAGATAGCTTTCACGCCTATCAATTACGATATTTCATCCTACGATTATGGCAATCACATATAGTCGGTCTTTTTTATTCGCACAGAGATTTTGGTGGAAAAAAGATCAAGCCTGTTGTGTTTACTGAATGAAACGTATTTAAAGCAGCCGGCATTCTCAAGTCTCCTCGAGGAAAGCGTAGTGGATCTAATCATGTACAGAAACACGGCACTCGTCAAATTCCTTCACTAATACCAAGTATTCGAGTAAATAAACCTGTTAGATCAATCTCCAGAACTCAAAACTGCAGAAACTTTGCCAACTTATTCAGTAAATATTCGAAAACAATCTCAATTCAGAAGTATGGATGGAAATTCCTCGGGAGTCATTATGTTCCATCGCTTTTGTTGTCCAACACCATGTCATTGGCGCCAAAAATTGACGAGATCGCACATACGGTTAATAACATCGACTCTGATATCGCCTTTTTTAGCGAGACTTGGTTACGGGAAAATGTTCCAGATGAACCGATTTCCATCAACGGCTATAAGCTTTATAGGCGGGATCGTGTTAATGGTCAGCACGGGGGCGTATGTATGTACGTTAAAGAGTCCATCGAGTGTAAAGTCTTATCTAACCTTTATCATATAGATCATGAAGTTCTTTGGGCAGAGTTGAGACCACAACGTTTGCCACGTGGCTTTTCTATTAATATTATCGTTGGTGTAGTTTATCAACCCCCTGATGCCAATGACGCCACTATGAAAGACTATTTGATAACATCTCTGGAGAATGTCGAGTCAGAGTATCCTAATAGCGCAATTATTATGGCGGGAGACTTTAATAAGACTCTTATGCCTCTGTTTAGAGCGGCTGTTAGATCCTTCCAATTAAAGCCTATGGTAGATTTCCCCACCAGGGGAAGCGATTGTTAGAGCAAATATTCACCAATCTGTCTGTCTACTCTTGTCCCAGGAGGTTGCCCGCGTTCGGCCTCTCGGAAGAATTCAAGCAAACCTCAGCACAAGATCATCAAGGCAAGAGATAAGAGACCATGGGCGTGGGCGTACCGGGCGGGGGGGGGGGG